AACATAGACTGAAACTTGGTATTGAACTTGTCAGTTTGCTTCTTAGCATGATGCGCTTTAGACAGTGCGGGGCTCATCCGCGTAAACGACATAAGGCGTCATTCCTACCTGTTATATGGAAAATTGAATGACTGAAGCAAGTTGGTATTGTAAATTTGTGGAAAGAGTGAGAATTGCAGTGTCTTTAGTTCACTACCATAAAATGCCTAATAAAAGTATATTTTCAGTGAGTTTTTATGAATGGCTAGATTCTACCATGAGCAACTTCTGTGCCTTATAGTTTCATTCTACCATGAGCAACTTTGTGTGTTTAAATTTTGAAAGTTATGCATATATCTTGGAAGATCTCTTCAACAAACTATCATGCTTAGTAGGCTCCAGGGTCCTCATGTTGTGTGCTCACTAAATGTTTGGGTGAGATTTGTATATAATTCGAAGGAAAAGTCTCTTGTGCTACTGACACACAATTTTGACAATCTATTCTTCGCCATTAAGAAATCAGCCACATTTTATTTCTCCCTATATTGTGGTGATTATTTTCCTTTGCAGTTAACTGATATGGAATTTATATTTGGTGTAGGTTGAGACGATCTCACTTTAAGATTTTCTGACTTCGCTATGCAGTGCAACAAGCTTCGAAAGGTCATTGTCTGGATTTCTCTGGTGCACTAAGTTTGTATTTTGTTATTATTTCTCTGGTGCACTAAGTTTGTATACAATGTAGGTACTTCTCTCGTCTTAAATTCCTGAAATTTTGATCATCTTTGAATTACTAAGTCTCTCTACAACCCATTTGTTTCCCAGGTAACTCAATAGTTTCAGTCTCTCTATTAACATTACAGGTTGACTTACGGGTTTTCACTTACACTTCGGTTCTCTGTTCTCTACGGCCAGTGAGCTAGAAAAAAAATCGAAGGTGCATTTGACTAGGAAGGAGGTGCCTAATGAAGCTTACAGATTTGTTTCTGTTCTGAATATTAGCAATTTGCATGGATAAAAATAAAAATGGGATTTCAGTAATATGCATATAATTGCACGTGTGCAAATCGGTTCTCGGCTCTCATTATTGAGTTAATAATCTCCATTGCCATTGTTGTAGTTTTTTTACCACAAGGACGTTACCCTTTTTAAAATATTAATCATGTAGCCGTGTAGTATTTTAGTTTTTTTTACCACAGTGAAGTTACCAGTAGGAGTGCGTCTCCGAGTTCATCTCCTTCGTCGCCAGAGCAAGTGAGTTCACACCGCCCAGAGCTATATGGATTGGTGATGGAGGCCAACCATCATCAAAACAAAGGATACCCATGTGTGGAAGAATAAAGGATTGATTATTAGAGTATCATGTATGTTAGTTGATTCTATACTTCATGAAGAATTTATCTCGAGCTGTAAGCTGAACACTGATAGTTCAATCAATTGATGACCTTAGGAGTTGCAAAGAGTTTTCTGTATAACAGTTGCATCGGTTCTACATTTTTAAAGTTTTTTGAACTTCCTGGTGACCAGCAAAGAGTTTCTTGAATAATAGTAGCATTAGTTCTGTATTTTCAAAGTATATCTACATTTTTAGGTCTACACAGTAGAGTTTACGAGCCTGCGATGCCGTGCTTTCTGTGACTGTTAATTTCACAAATTTTTTGTTTTGGATTAAATATCACCTTAACGTCGGTTAATTTCACAATATTTTTATCTTATCGTGCGATCCGTGTGTTTTTAATACAAAAGTTTAGCTGCCCTGTAGCAACGCACGAGCACGAACCTAGTACATACATTAATTAACAAGATTTTCAATAATCAGAAAGCATACAAAAGTTTAGCTGCCCCGTAGCGACGATGTACTGGCGAAAAGATCGGATGCATCATCCACTGCTTTACTAGAACAAGAACGATATATCTATATCTAGGCTAGGCAAGTATGCATAACAAAGTTCTTTGATTTTCCATCCATGTAGGCATTAAAGCTTAATTAAATATATCAAGTCTGCCTATTGACCAAGTCGACATTAGGTCTTAGACGCGGATGCATGATGCGATTGAGGCTATTTTTCTTTTCTGCTGCTACTAGTATGTAAGTACTATATGATTAGAAACATAGCTGGTCTGATAAAAATTCTCATTGAATAAGGATCTCGAAGTTGGACTCTAAGGTGTACTAACAAAGCAAAAAAATTAATAATTAAAATTGGATTGCCATCCAAGGCTCCAAAATAAAACAGTGACTCATGTTCCTCACGTTTCTCGTTCTATTTTCCAATAGTTAGAGATTTTGCGAAGCATTGGGCCGTTTGGACACCAGCACTAATTGTTGGTCATCTAAAATTTACTTTTAGGGCACTCAAATATATAGGTGAATTAATGGAATGATTTAATTTTAGTATAAAAGTTTAGCTGCCCGTAGCAACGCACGAGCACGAACCTAATACATACATTAATTAACAAGATTTTCAATAATGAGAAAGCATACAAAAGTTTAGCTGCCCCGTAGCGACGATGTATTGGAGAAAAGAGCGAATGCATCATCCACTGCTTTACTAGAACAAGAACGATATATCTATATCTAGGCTAGGCAAGTATGCATAACAAAGTTCTTTGATTTTCCATCCATGTAGGCATTAAATCTTAATTAAATATATCAAGTCTGCCTATTGACCAAGTCGACATTAGGTCTTAGACGCGGATGCATGATGCGATTGAGGCTATTTTTCTTTTCTGCTGCTACTAGTATGTAAGTACTATATGATTAGAAACATATCTGGTCTGATAAAAATTCTCATTGAATAAGGATCTCGAAGTTGGACTCTAAGGTGTACTAACAAAGCAAAAAAATTAATAATTAAAATTGGATTGCCATCCAAGGCTCCAAAATAAAACAGTGACTCATGTTCCTCACGTTTCTGGTTCTATTTTCCAATAGTTAGAGATTTTGCGAAGCATTGGGCCGTTTGGACACCAGCACTAATTGTTGGTCATCTAAAATTTACTTTTAGGGCACTCAAATATATAGGTGAATTAATGGAATGATTTAATTTTTAGTCCACACAGAACCTAACAAGCAACTAGTTGTTCATTGATCAGAGAGAGAGAGAGAGAGAGAGAGAGAGAGAGAGAGAGAGAGAGAGAGAGAGAGATAAAAGAGACTAATAGCTATTAGTCTATCAAACAATGTTGTTTAAACTTTAGTCACCTAAGTTATAGCAACCAGCGGACTAATAACTAATTCTAATTGATACAAATAGTTTCACATAGTACATCATTTTGTCCTAATACTAGTGTCAATGTTTTAGGTTTTTTGAAAATATATTAACATCCACATATTTAATTTATGGCGACCTTGATGAAACTATTTTGATGTTTGTAGGTGTTACTATCTTGTTTTTGAAAAAGTTCAGTTACTCCTGGTCCTGGAGCTCACCTGCTACAATTTTACGTCGTCCACTCCGTGACGGATGAAGGGCGTGTTTTCTAGAGGAGCAGCAACACTTTTTCGTGTCCAAAGTACGTATGTTTCGTGCAATGATCATTTGTGAGCTAAAGCAACCTCTCACGGTCTCATGCTCACCGCAATGGAAAAAATGAGGCCTTCAAACATGTCCGCATCCGCGTTAAAGCTTGGCACGCCTTTCAAACTTTAAACTGAACATTCATCCAGTTCACTTCACTTATAATCCATATTTTTTCAGTCAACAAATAGTATTGTTTTACAACAAATTAACCCACAATATTTTTAGTTATGGACTCATGGCTTATCAGCCATGAGAACATGACAATCGACGGTCGCGGCGCAGAGGCCGAACGGCACGGAGCGGAACTGTTCAACGACGTAGCAGCTTCGAATTGCTGACTCGTTTGGTACAGCTTCGAGAACTTTTTTTTTTAACAACTAGCGCCCTGGCGCAAGTACGGACGCCCGGACGCGTGTCTCACATTAATAGGCGGGAGACTGCCTACTTTTGCGCTCCACCGTGTGGACCTCATACTACTTTCGGTCCTGATCACTGTGCTTGGGCCTTGTTTAGTTGTCTAAACTCTGCACATCCAAAAAGCAATGTGCACTGTAGCGGTACTGTAGCATTTCATTTGTATTTGATAATAATTGTCCAACCGTTGACTAATTAGGCTTAAAACATTCGTCTCGCAAAGTACAACCAATCTGTGTAATTAGTTAATTTTTTATATAAATTTAATACTCTATGCATATGTGCAAAGATTTGATGTGATATGATGTGATGGAGAATCTTGCACTGTGCAAACTTTGAAGGTGTAAAGTTGGTGGAACTAAACAAGGGCTTGCTCTATTTCGCGCGCGCACGCTGAAATTGGGCCCCTAACCACGCCACTTCGTGCCCTGGCTGCCGCGCCTGCACGTGGGAAACCACGTGGGTCTCTGTCACCTGCCGCGTCTGTGGATGCGCGTCGCACGGTGACCCAACGAGGCGCCCTAGAAGTTGTAGCAGGCTTCTGCGGCAGGGGAGTCCCATTGCAACACGCGTAACACTAGATCTACTTTTGCAATATGCAGATAAAACGCTTGCATCATACATACGAAATAGCTTAAATCTTGCAACATACGTCTGAAACACTTGAAACACGTATGTAGCCATTGCAAATATTTGCAACATCCAGATCTACTTTTGCAACATCTAGATGAAACACTTGCAACGTACATATGAAGCACTTGAAAAAACACGCTTGCAACATGCACGCATATGCAACAAGCAATATCCAGAACTTTTACAACATAGAGATGAAATAATTGAAACATACGCCTGAAAACGCCTGAAACAAAACATACGCTTGCCATATATGTAACATCCAGATGAAACACGTGAAGCATACGTCTGAAACACTTGAAACACGGCATCGTCGGCGGCCACAGCCCGTCGCGGCAAGAAGCTTCAGTTGGTGGTGGTGCGGCTCCCTGTCGTGGTGCCTTCGGCTAGCGATAACCTTCTCCTGGGGGCACCAGGGTGGGTGGTGGTGCGGTGAACGCCGTCGTCAAGATGGGCGAGGCGGGGGACGCGGCGCAGGATGGGGGTGCGGCGCGACACGAGATTGGGGTGCGACAGGGGATGGCCGTGGCGGCGAGGCGGAGTGGGGTGCACGGACGACACGGTGAAACCACGACGGACGAGGTGAAGTGGGGGAAATGTCGCGGGGTGCAGACGTGTAGAAGAGAGTAGAATGATGTGAGGAGATCTGTTGGGCCGATCCGCTAGGCAGCCGCGTGTGGACGGACGGACCGATGCCCGCGTCTAAGCATTATTGTTTTTTTTTACCTGCAAGTGCCAACCAAACGGTCTATGGATAAACAATTTCGGACGTGAAGGCGTGAAACCATGCTGATCGGAGCCGCTCGGAGAAGATGGAGCCGAAAAACAAGCTTCACCGTTCCAACCTCCGTCCTTGTGCCGTTGTGCGTCTCGTTCCGAAATGGCCTTTCGTGCGAGTGGGCGTCAGCGGCCATGGTCTATTAGCCTGTTCGCTTGCTCGTAAACGATCGTAAATTTCTAGCCGTGAACAGTGTTTTTCTCTCACACCAAACCAGCCAGCAGTAAATAATCCACGATACGATACGGCCTCCCAAATAGACTGTATGTCTATGTGTGTCGATGGTGGTACTGTGGCTGTTGTGTACAGTACACATTTTTTTAATAAAAGAAAAACTTGAAAACGTTGGTGGGTTGGCGGAGCGCTTGAATTATTGGAATTTGGAAGACAAGGAGAAAGGGACGGTCTGCTACTGCTACTGTTGACAGCACGAGACATGAGGATAGGGGGCCAAGGGCGCATGGGCCTCAGGGCATGGCTCGACTTGCAGAGGGACACATGAAAAGCTGCACACAGAACTTGGCTGTCCTGTCCTCTCCGCTCTCTTCCTTCCTTTAGTCCATGGCCATTGCCTGTTCTTTACTGTACAGGATGCGCATTGATGCCCATTGCCCATTCTTTAGGGAGAGACGCGAAAGAAAGAGAGCCAGAGCGTGGCGCACACAAGAAACAGCAGAAACCAGCAGCTACCTTCGCTCTGCTCGTGTGTGGTCTCCTTCCCTTTCCCCTCCCCATTGTGAGCTTCGACGCTTCATCACCTAGCCGGGGGCATGGGCCTCGGATAGCAGAAGGACGGCGCAGTCAGGAAGTGTCACCGTCATCTTCTTGGCGCCGACAGTGCCCAGCTCGGCGCGCTCGTGGACAGAAAACACCAAGCGCGTTGCCACCTTGCTGCCGTAGGTGCGCTTGCTTCTTGCTTTCATACATCACTGTTCTACTGTTGTTCAGGGAAAGAGAAGCTGTTTTAATCGTGGGGTTTTTTTTTTTGGGTTTGTTTTTTTTCAGACTGCGACGTGCCCTCTTGTTTCTTTAGTAGCAGTTGCCAAACAACTGATCTGCATTCGTCATCAACCCGTAGCGGGGAAGTTGATGAAGGAAGGCCCGTGCACGCACACAAGAAAACAAGAAAGAGCAGGAAAAACTGTTGCATTCGCCTTACTGCGTTGCTCGTCTGCTTCCCTTTCACCTCCCACTCCCTCCCCCATTGTGAGCTTCGGAGCTTCATCAGCTAGCTGAGAGCATGGGCCTCGAACAGCTGAATAACGCCGCGGTTAGGGAGCGTCGCCGTCGTCTTCTTGGCGCGGACATGGTGGCGGCGGTGAGGCGCCGTCCCCGTCGTGCCCAGCTCGGCGCGCTCGTCGACGTAGAACGCCAAGCGCATCGTCGCGCGTTGCTGCCGTAAGCGCGCTTGCTTCTTGCTTTCATACGTTACTGTTTCTTTACTGTTGAAGAGAAGTTAGTTTAATCGCGGGGTCTTCTTTTGTTTGTCTGTTCCTTCTTCAGACTGCAACAAGCGAAGAAACAAGAGGGCCGGTGACTCTGATGACTTGTCTCCACACAAATGCTCCGTGTTCCTTGTCAACAGTAGATCAGAGCATGATTCACCATTCCCGTGGGATGCAAGACACCGCGGAGCAGGAGGATGCGAGCATTCTCCTCCACGTCGAGGGACCCCCTACTCCAATGTCCCTTCTGAGAGCCGCCATCATGCCCTGCTCACTGGTGCGGATCTCAGTGGTGCCGCGCTGCCGTAAGTGCCTGCTCAGTGCTTACTCCTTCCTTTGAGATCTGTATGTATTCTGGTTTTTTCATGGAAATTTTTAAGTGGATGTCGTAGGTCCTCCCTTACTTTTTAAAGTTGATATTTATTTCAAGGGTGTAGAATAAAATCTAAATTAATTCAGTATAAGTATTGATTTGACTACTATATATTAACAGGAAAAAGCGCCCCTTATTTTTTGCAATTTTAACTCTGCCCATGGTTAGTTCCAACCTAAAATCCCAAAAAGCGCTAAAGTAGCCATCACATCGAATGTTTGCGGCCCGTAGATGAAAAAAAAAAATAATTACACAGTTTGGTGGAAAATTGCGAGATGAACGTTTTGAGCCTAATTAGTCCATGTTTAAACACTAATTGCCAAATAAAAACGAAAGTGCTACAGTAGCCCCAAATTCCAACTTACTGAAACTAAACGTGCGCTCTGAAATATACATCTCACACTAAACTGACGCATAACTGTTTTCCTATTGAAGAGAAAGTGGTTTAATCATCACATTTTTTTTTCAGACCACAAGTGAAGAAGCTGCAACAAGTGAAGAACCAGTCAGGCCGGAGACTCTATCCTGGGCCAGCGGAGCAGGAGGATGCGAGCTACTTTCTCCTTGGGGTCGAGGGGCCTCTCTGCTCCAATGTCCTTTCTGAGAGTCGTCCTCAAGGCCAGCTCACCTGTGCGGCGCTCGTTGGTGGAGGATGGCAGACCTATGGCCGCGTTGTCGTAAGTGCCTGCTTACTTCTTTGACATATGTATATGTCGGTGTTTTGACCGGGGCCTTCAATCCACTAGTGAAAGTGTGCTGAGTCTTCCTAATTTTGGATGGTGATGCAAAATACATAAGATTTATACTGGTTCAGGTAATATGTGCTCTACGTCTAGTCTGAGGGAGCGATCTTGTATTCCTTGCACCGTGCACTGGAGCGACGCGCCGGTCATGCCTGATCCTGTGCGACGTGGGGGCTCCTGTGGTGGCAGGCGCGCCTTCCTCTGTTGGAGACGTGCTGGTCACTGTATGTTTGACCGGCGTGGAGTGTCGAGACTGGGTTGATGCGATGGCGCGGGTATGCTGATTCTGAGGCTATAGGAGCCAGGCCCTGTGCACGACGTGGGAGCTCCTGCAGTCCGACACAGGGCATGGCGCGTACTGCGGGCGACGTGCCGGTCCCATAGCGCTGACAACGTAGAGAGCCGAGGCCTAGTTCGATGCAGAGGCTGGACCGTCGTGGGGGCTCGGCGGGCGCGAGTCCCGAGGCTACAGGAGCCCGGAAGCGGGTAGCCGAGGCTCGGAGGGAGCAGTTGGCCTTGCACGTCGTTTTCGAGGCTACAGGGACCCGGACGTGACTTTCCACGCCGCGCTGTCCTTGGAGCAGGGGTTAGGCAGCACAGCGTAGCACGGGCGTCAGCCGTGGGCACAGTGCTGAGCACAGCGGTCGGTAACCCCCGCCCCGTCCTGTCCCGGATGATAGGGCGTTAATGTGACTTTCGTCTCATCGGTCACTCCGCTGTACCATGCCGTCGTGCGGCTGATGTCGCGGGAGTAGTTGAACGTGTTAGTTGGATGTGACGTCTCGTCAGAGAAGTCGGTCAAGGCGGCGGTGACGGAGTTGATGCCGAGCCGGCCTCGAGCGAGTCGGTAACTGGGTGCTCGTCCGAGGCCTCGTGGCGCGGGGCCTCGGGCGAGTCGGAGAATCGGTAACTCGTCCGAGGCCTTGCGACGTGGGGTCTCGGTTGAGCCCGGATATTTGTTCGAGGTGGGCTGGGCGGTCAGCCGGGCCTCGGATGTGGCGGGTTTGCCTGCGGTTGCATTTTGGTTTCGTTATTTACAAGGTCTAAGCAATTTTTTCGGTTCTTACTTAGGGTACCCCTTTTTATGGTATCCGACAGTAGCCCCCGAGCCTCGGGGGGAGTGTGAGCACTCTCCCTGAGGTTTTGATGAGACTTGGCTCGCAGCAGTTCTCGTCGGGATTGTGTTTTGTGCTCGAGGCTCCGGTGGGTGCGCGCGAGCGCACCCGTCGGGTGTAGCCCCCAAGGCCCTGGAGGAGTGAATTTATTCCTCCAGGGGCTTTTTCCTTGTTGAGTGGGGGGGGGGGGTTTTGACGCGTTTGCCGAGCCCCCGAGTGCGAGTTCGGGTCGCTGGGTCTCAGCTTGGTCGTAGGAAGAGCCCCCGAGCCTCTGCTCGGAGCGAGAGGGCGGTCAGGAGCTTCCCTGTCTTTTTTGAACGGCCCTCGCGCATCCTTTTCGCTCGGAAGGAGGGGTGGAGTATGCCAGGCTACCCTCGGTGGGCGAGCAGTGACACATCCGGTGAGCTGTTAACGGGTAAGTCCAAGGGGAGGCCCATGCCCCATTCGATAGGGGTCGGCTAGCGTTCCAGAGACACGCTCCAAAAGTACCAGAGGGCTTCTCTAGTGGGTCCCAGGGCCGTTCGATTGGCCCTAGGGGCTTGGTGCCTCCCTACGGTGGGATCCCATTCAGAGACCTCCCTGCTGGTCTCGGACACGACTTTAGGGCATCCCAAGCAACTGCTTGCTTGGGCCTCGGCCATGTACGGGCTCGCCCTTAGTCTTCCCTGACTCTGTCCTGGGGCGGCTGTCGAGACCTTCGGAGGCCCAACCTTCGAACCCCTGGACCATAACGGGCTCGGTGCCCAGTTCCTTAGTCTGAAAGGAATCGGGTGGGGGAATATTCCCTTCCCATCGACTGACAACGGCGGGTGCGCCTTTTGAGACGGTTTCTCGGGGAGACGGAACGGCGCCTGCCGTCGCTGCGGATGGGACGTTACTGTACGTGCGCGGTTAGCGAGAAGAAGTAGGGCGCATGGGCGGTTTGGCCGGATCCGCATTAACTGCGCTAGATCTGGGAAATAATCTTCCTGGTTTTGTCGCCCGCTGTTCACCTTCTTTCCTCCCTCATAAATACGTGACGAGCCACGCCCCTGCCCCTCCTTACCTTTTCTGCCTGCCGTCGTGCTTTTTGCCCTCGAGCGGTTGCCAAGAACAGCGGAAGAGAGCGCCGGGGAGAAGGGAGAAGGGGAGAGAGAGAGAGAGAGAGAGAGAGAGCACACATTACCGCCGTAGTCGCATTCTCCACCGCACCCATGGTTGGTGGCGCTGTTGTCCTCTAGGCGGATCGTTGGGGTCCGTCTGACGTGTCCGCGGCGACGCTGCAGTCGCTCGTCGATGATGGTCTCCTTCGCCCGGTCACCGACCCCAACAGGCCGAAGTGGATTGCTCTGGGGAACGAGCCGGAGCCGAGGCCACGCGATGGCTACTTCATGAGCTTCGTGGCCTTCCACGAGCGCGGCCTCGGCTTGCCGGCGGACCGGTTCATGCGGGCGCTCCTGCATTACTACGGCGTGGAGCTCCACAACTTCAACCCCAACTCCATCGCGTAGGCGGCCATCTTCATTGCCGTCTGCGAGGGGTTCCTAGGCATTGCCCCCCACTGGGAGGTGTGGCTCCACCTCTTTTGGGCAGGGCTCACCACCAAGCCGATGGGTACGACGGGCACGCGGAAGGCATTGAGGGCCGGCGGCTGCACTCTCCAAGTGCGCCAAGACCGGCAGGCCCTCTACATCCTAGCCCAGCTCGCGTCGTCCAATCGCCGCTGGTACAACAGCTGGTTCTACCTCCGCAATGATGACGGCGGGCTTCCCCCCTATACCGGGCGGGTCGTGGAGAGCCAGCCGGAGAGGTGGAGGTACGGTGTCCCGTTGGCTGATCAGCCCAAGCTGCAGCCGCTCCTGAGGGCCCTGGAGAGGCTACGCAGCCGCGGCCTTACGGCGGCCGTGGTCGTGGTGGCCTTCCACCGCCGGAGGGTGCTGCTGCTGATGGCTCGGCGGTAGCGCCTGTTCGAGATGATACCGGATGAGCAAATCGACGGTGTTCAGCTGTCCACCGTCGCCCTCTCCGACGAGGAGATTCTGCGTCGGGTGAAAGAGACGGTGGAGGGGTGGTTGAGGAGCAGCGGTCTGACCCCGTTCCCGATGCGCCCGTCGTGGGGGTACATCTCTCTGGTAAGTTGCGTGTTGCTGCGGCCTTCGAGGCCTTCTTGCTCCTTACATTCTCAGTCCGTTCCCTTATTGCGTTTGTCATTCCTGTAGGGGATGAGGGATGTGCGAGCCTCCCCACCGCCCGTTCCCGAGGACGCCGAGCGGCGAGCTAAGAACAGGGCACACGCCGAGGCGTACAAGGAGCGGAAGGATGCCGAGGAGGCAAGACGCAAGAGGAAGAGCCTTGAGCACGATGAGCTGGAGAAATGTCGCCGGTAGCAGAGCCGCGACGGTCTCCCGGAGGAGTCGTCTCCGTCATCGTCGTCGCTGGACTTTTCGAGCGACGACGACGACGACAGCGAGGCGGGGCGGGGTCCCCTGGACCACCTCCCTGACGTCAGGGGGACGGCGCTCGGGGCGTCGGCGAGCGGCCCGGCGTCTCCGGGAGGAGGAGGAGAGGGTGCCTCGGGGCTGGCGATTGCCCGCCCCGGGGCCGAGGCCGACACGCCCGAGGCATGGGCGTCGGGGAAGCGCGCTGTCAGCCCGATGGGCTCGACGGCGGAGGTGGAGCGGGTGACGGCGTGGGCGATTGAACCGCCTCTGCAGAGGGTCGAGGTAGTGTCGGAGTCGGGCGAGGGCCGACCGGCTCCGACGAACACGGCGACCGTGCCACTACCACCGCCACCGCCGAGGACGAGGGACGTGGTGCGGAAGGTATTGCTTCCCCGTTCGAGGTAAGCATTTTTTACTAGTGGGGTTTGCAATATCTCCCACTCGTTCCTTGGTCATATGCTGACCTCGCGAGTGGTTCGTTCTCAGCCAAAAGCGTCAGGCGGAAGCGCCTGCCCTAGCGCCACTTAAGGCGCTCAAGGTGAGCACCAGCGCCACCGCCCGATGGATGGTGGACGCGCAGGCCGCTTTGCAGCGTGGCGTGGCGTCGGCCAGGGCCGACCTGGAGGAGCCGGTCGCCCAAGGAGAGGCCACCGAGGCGGCCTTGAAGCAGGCGGGGGACGAGGCGCCTACAATCGCTGAGGCTACCGAGGGCGAGGATGAGGCCCCCAGGACCTCCGAGGCCGAAGTGGCAGAGGCTAGGGCTTCTGAAGTCGAGGTGGCAGACGCTGGGCTCCCGAGACCACCGAGGTCGAGGTGGTGGAGGCGGGCCCGGTGGAGCCGGTGGCCCAGGATGCGGAGGTGGAGGCGGGGCAAGCTTCGATACCGCCCCCGGTCCAAGACCTGCCGCCGTCGCAGGAGAGCACCCAGGAGGTTCAGACAATCTCCTCCGACGATACTTCCCGGGAGAAGGAGGTGGCGGACACCGAGGCGGCCAGCACAGCGGAGCAGCCAGTCCCGACTCCTGCCGAGGGGAGCTCGGCCCTTGTCCGGGTCCGACCCGAGCCCCGCGGGTGGGACAGCCCGCGTGTTCTGTGGTGGATCCGGGATGACCCTGAGGGGGAGCCTCTGTTCGCCCTTGAGGACGTGGACGAGGGGGGCACTGGGGCTCCCTTGAGCAGTTCCGCCTGCTGGTAGAGTGGTCGCTGTGGACGACGCTGTCCGTCGTGGCTGAGAACCTGCCCGGTGTTGCCCGGGTACGTGCTTTCCTTTCTTGCGCCATGTTGTCCTTCCTCCGAGCCCTCTCGCAGTTCTTTGACGTATGTTCTGCTTATCCAGGAGCTCGAGGCCCGGTCCCTCGAGAAATCGATGTTCCTCCGGTGGGAGAGGGACGTCTAGGACC